ACGATGTGACCAAGTGTATGAGTGACTAGGTATGATTGACGCAGGTACAGAATGTGACGAGGTACGATGTGCAACCGAGGTACGATTTGGACCAGGTACGAGGTGACAAAGTCGCGATGTGACCAGGTAGCCGATGTGATCACGGTACGATTGTGACAAGTGTAGCGATGTAAACCAGGTACGAATGTGACAAGGTAGGATGTGACAGCAGTACGGATGTGAAAGGTTAGCCGATGTGCCAAGGTATAGATGTGACGGCAGGTAAGATGTTGACATCAGGTACGATGTGAGCCAGGCTAGCGATGTGAACAAGCGTACGATGTGAGCGCGATGGCTACTTATGTGACCAAGGTAAACGATTTGACGCAGGTACGATGTGACGCAGGTAGCGATGTGACCAGGTACGATGTGACCAGGTACGATGTGACCAGTTACGATGTGATCAGGTACGATAGCAACATGAATGATATAAAGAGATGCGATAACAAAAGACACGAAGACAGGCGGTATAAATGATATCAATAGGCATATCGATAATAGCTACAATGACAACAAGTACAATCGCAACAGGTACCACGACACAGGTATGATATCAATAGGTACGCCAACAATATGCACAATAACAACAACAGATACAATAACTACGCGCACGATTGAATGACGTACGACTACTTTCGTACAACTAGCACCTGCGTACGCGGGGACATAGGAAGGATGAGTTTAGTATAACAGAGTGCATTAGCCCAGCAGGAAGCTAAGCAATACTGAAACACGAGCGGACAATCTAACTTAATGGTCTCGGCATGCTCGCGAATACAAACGAAAAACCGTTAGCGACATGGGCACGGCGTAGACGGATCGCATTTCCTAGCAGCCTATAGTGGCAATGCTGAGTTTAGTAGTGCTACTAACAACTTCCTAATAGAACCGTGGTATTCTGCATCCTGCTTACACGATTCACCAACCGACCGACCAACCAACTAACTAACCAATTAGTTAATTAATGAATTAAATAACTAGCTAACTTACTAACTAACTAACTAACTAACTAACTAACTAACTAAGCTAACTAATAACTAACGTAACTAACTTAACTAACGTAACTAACTAACTAACTAACTAACTAATAAGCTAACTAACTAACTAACTAATATAACGCAACTAAATAACTAACTAAATAACTAATATAACTAACTAAATAGCTATAAATAAATAACTAACTAACTAACTAAGCTAACTAATGCAACGGCAACCACGCACAGCAACCAACAACAAACAAATAACCAAACAACAAAGCAAACCAACCACCAACACCAACCTCAACCAACCAAGCCAACAACCAGCAACGGCACCAACCAACCAACGCAACCACCAACGGCAACCAACGGCAACCAACCAACCAACCAACCAACCAACCAACCGATCAACCAACCAACCAACCAAGCAAACAAACCAACCAACCAACCAACCAACCAACTAACTAACTAACAACTTAACGAATTCATCCGTTAGTTACCGTTAACCGGCCAAGTAAACGGCTGTCAGTACACTTCACCCCCTAAAGCAGACGAAATGCTCATTTTACACGCGCGCGTCCTACGCTCCCCGACTCCCCCGCTACCCTACCCCATCCCCGCACCCCCCGCTATACCCTGCACGTCAGCGCACCGAGACGCTGGTAACGTGACCACGCTTGGGTGCTGCCGTAGCCAGGGTTGGCACGCGACCAGCGCGGGGGCGCGCGCGTCGGCAGTGAAGCAGGTGGATGGGCCATAGAACAGGTATTGTCTGAGGAAAAACCCCACAAGGTGCTAATGGTTCCCACTAGTCTCACGGACGGCTGAACGGCGAGAATAAAACAGGTGGAACGCTGCGGCTCGCCCGAAATACCGACGGCCACAATTCTCTGCCGGGGTACGACAGAGACTAATAACTTACCCTCCCAAACCTTGAATGTTAAACGTACATCTAGCTTTGCAGCCTACTCTCCCACAGCTTGTATGTTGAACGTACATATAGCTTTGCAGGGTACGCCCTCCCACACCTTGAATGTTGACATGTACAATATTACTAGGCTTTCGCAGGGTACCCTCCCCACGCTTGTATGTTAACGTACATATAGTTATTGCATCGTACCCTCACGATTTCATCTTGATGTTAACGTACTGCTTGTTTTTTCTAATAGAGATGCTAGAACTAGCCTGCTTACTCGTTTACGAAATATCTAAGCCAGTAAATCGAATATGCAAATACAAAATCAGAATATCAAACAGTAGCATCAAATATCAGAATTAAAAATTCAGAATATCAACCCGTAAATCAAATATCAGAATATAAAATTCGAATATGCAAAACCTGTAATCGTTGTCGTAGCGTACGTCTCATTGCGTACGCGCTCTTATAAACGTCTTAGCACGTATTTAACCAGTTGAACAGTTATGGTTGACGAATGAGCCTCATATGCACGGCCGTCACCAAAGCAATTATCTAGTTTAAGATGTGTGGCAGACGGTTTATTCATCACGAACTTCTGGTGTATACTCAATTAGAAGTCTGAGTGTTTGAGTTCGCAGCTATTTGCACAAGCAATAGGGCATTTTAACTGGATTTGAATAATCATAAGCCCTCTCTCTCTATCGCTCTCACTCTCGTCTCCACTCTGCAGTCTCGCTTCTCGCTCTCTCTCTCTCACTCTCACTCTCACTCTCAATCTCACTCTCACTCTCACCTCACTCTCACTGCTCACTCTAGACACTCTCACTCATCACCTCTCCTCTGCACTCCACTCTCACTCTGCACTCGTCACTCTCACTCTCACTCTAACTCTCACTTTCTCACTCTCACTCTCACCTCTTCACTCTCACTCTCACTATCACTCTCATCTCAGCTCTCACTCTCACTCTCACTCGTCACTCTCACTCTCACTTCTACTCTCACTCTCAGTCTGCAACTCTCCACTGCTGAGCTCGTCACTCTCACTGGCCACTCTCACTCTCTACTCATCACTCTCACTCTCGACTCTCACCTCACTCTCACTCTCGACTCTGCACTCTCAACTCTCACTCTCACTCTCACTCTGCACTCTCTCTCCTCACTCTCAATTCTCAACTCTCACTGCTCACTCTCATCTCATCTCTTTCACTTGCTCACTCCACTGCTCACTCTCACCTCACTCTCACTCTCACTCTCAACCTTCTCACTCTCAACTTGTCTCAGTCTCACTCTCACTCTCACTCTCACTCTCACTCTCACTCTCACTCTCACTCCTCACTCTCACTCTCCCTCTCACTCGTTCACTCTCAACTCTCACTGCTCAGCTCTCACTCTCCTCTCACTCTCTTCTTTCTCTCTCTCTCTTCTCTCATTCTCTCTCTCTTCTCTCTCTCTATAGTATATATATATATATATATATATACATATATATAGTATCGTGTGTGTGTGTGTGTGTGTTTGTGTCGGTGTGTGTGTGCGTGCGTGCGTGCGTGTGCGTGGTGTGTGTGCGTGGTACGCTGTGTGTGGTGTGTGTGTGTGGGTGCGTGCGTGTGCGTGCGGTCCGTGTGGGTGTGTTGTGTGCATGCCGTGGTGCGTGCCGCGTGGTGAGGGTGTATCAGGGATCAGCATGATTTCGGTTACATGTAATTAAACTATAGTCGTGACCGTTTTAAGCGTAACAACGGGCGTGTGTTTTAATAGTCGTAACCGTTCTCACGCAATGCCATCGCCTCACCGTACGTAATTCTAAATCGCCTTGGCCGTAATGCGCCCGAGTATCTTATCGGCAACGGCTTTAGGGAGAGAGAGGAGAGAGAGAGAGAGAGAGATAGAGAGAGACAGAGAAGAGAGGAGAGCTGAGAGAGCGGGGCGAGAGTGAGAGATGGTGAGGAAGAGAGAGAGAGAGAGAGAGAGAGAGAGAGAGAGAGAGAGGAGAGAGCGAGAGAGAGAAGGCACCGTGGAACGTCTCAATTAAAAAAAATAATGGTAAATAAACACGAAATGTATTTACTACCAAAGTCTTAATGTTTCTCTACTATATCTCGCCTATAATTACCAGTAAATGCCGGTCAAATGCTCATCTGCAACACACAAGTACACCGCACGCCCGCCCTGTGCACAAACAACATGAATAAGAGACTCTGTACTTGTGTGTTGCAGATGAGCATTTGACCGGCATTTACGGGTAATTATCGGCAATAATAGGCGAACTAGAGTAGAGAAACACTAAGACTTTGGTAGTAAATACATTTCGTGTTTATTTATCATAATTTTTTTTAATTGAGACGTTTCAAGTGCCTGTGTGCGAGAGGGAGAGAGAGAGAGCGAGAGAAAGAAAGAAAGAGAGAGAGAGAAAGAGAGAGAGAGAGAGCGAGAGAGAGAGGGGAGGGGACCACCAGCCTGTCGAACGAGGCAGAAAGGACTGCTGGATGGAGCGCATACTATCAAGAGCATATAAAGAAGCGCTTGATACTATCCAGAAAGCAGAACCTATAGCTGCAGGCATCTACGTGAGGCGTCTGCGCGAGGAATACAAGAACGTCTCTCGCAGAAGACTAATCAATTAACGTCAACGGCAACGGCGACGTCACGCCCTCTATCCGTTGTTTCATTGTAAAGAGCCACCACGCCCACGGACAAGTGAACACCGATACCCACATGCGAGCCTTTGCGCATTCAAAGTTTAAATTTTAATTAAATTCGGTAAACGCGCTCATGCAAATGTCAATGCTGGTCGGTATAACATATACGCAAGGTATTTCGAAGTGACGATATTCAATTAAAACGCTGATCGCACGCGCGCATGCCAACATAACAATAAAGCAGCTGCCTCCAGGCATGCAGATGCCCCGTAACCAGATCGCTGGCTCCAATTCAATTTCAATGAGGATTAAGAGCGTATATACGAGCAAAAGCGTGAGCCAATCAAAACACAATTAACGCCGAACTGCGCAAATACGCCGGAACGATTACCGGCGAACAGTTTTACTTTCACCACGACTGTGTGCGGCGTAACACGCGGTCATATAATGGTCAGAAACTGCCCCCGTGTGGTCACTTCCGTTCAACTTGACCGCCCACCCCGGCAAGCGTGCGTGTTACCTCACGGGACCATCTGCCCCCCCCCCTCTAACGACCCCAGCGCGACCTGGTTGGGCGCCCTTTGAAGTTTGCCGCTGCTGCAATTAGCGATGTACCGTTATCTGCAGTCAAGGCTCATCGCTTTCACGTGAGCCGAGCGCGCGACGGGGGAGGGGGGAAGGGAGGGCGTGTCGAGCGACTGCGCATGCGCCGGAACCGACTTTTGCGAGCGGTCTTCATAATAGGGTGATTTATGTGATCGCACGCGTGCTCCGCTTTACATCACTGGTGGTACACAGCCGCAAACGGTTCTTGTAGGCAAAATGGGGGAAAAAAGAATGCATTGACCCAAACTGAAAGATTTATTACGGGCAATGAATCGCCATATATGGTATGGGTTGGTGGTTGGGGATTATGGTTATTGGTTAGGGGACGGGTTAGGAAAAGGTGGCTGGGTTTAGCTTATAGGGTAATGGGCTGTGGCAAAGGTTAGTGTTAGGGTTAGGGCTAGGTGTTAAGATTGAGCGCAGAGTTGATAAATTAATGATTGTCGAGGACAAAGTGATTGGAGAGCAGTTATAGGGCAATGCATGGGTAAGCGTTATAGGAAGAGATTTAGAGTTCAGTGACGACTACGAGTTTGGATTAATGTTTGGGTTGAGATTATAAACCAATGAGTTGGGGGCACGTGCTAGTATTAAGGTTAGTGTTAGGATTAGCGTTCATAACCATAATTAAAGGTTGCGTATGGAAACTCTTTGTTATTGAATCACTCGGCATTCTTTTAAACGTTCACATGAATTATGCTGGAACCTATCGCGTAATTAGGGCATGAAAGAGTTCACCAAACAACCAATCATCTTCTTTCAA